GGAGAGAACAAGTGACTTGAAGAGTGACTTAGAATTTCTGTCTTGTAAGTTCTAGTTATCCAGCCAATTATTTTCATTGCGGTAGCAATGGCAACATTATTGTGATCCTTGTGAATGCAAGATCTGACAATACTCAAGTTTCACACACGGGACTTTCGACTCTTGCTACTATTTCCTCCAGTCTTCCATAGTGAAGCAACTTAAATTTGTCTTTGTTTATACTTTTTGTACTTCGAAAACTTATCAAGTGACAACGAAACCCAAAATAGTACAAAAGTTCCAATTAACTTCCTTCAAATCGATCTAAGTTATTTTCAAGACAGACCTCTGGAATGTTTAGCGGTAAACATTTTCGGTGACGAAAAAAAAAAAAAACAACGGGATAAATCTAAGATATATCACAAGTGTCGTTCGGAAAAAAAGTGTTTAAGTTGGATGATTAACTGTTTGGTTAAATTACTTTATTCCTGTATGTTTTGTCTGTAATCGCATTTCCTGTTTCACTCTCAATTATAAAGCGCTCCACCACCTCAATTTTAGACTGGTCTTGCCCCCCTGGAGTGTAGCTGTGGCCGAGGCCAATAGCGAAGGGAATGTCAGCATGAGTGTGGCTCCTAATGAAACCGGAGGATAACTGGGAGGGTGCACAGACCACCTCACTCACTACCTGTTATTTCAACTGTCACACCACCAAATTCCCTATTAAGGCGATATTCACCACTTTTAAAATCATACTGGATTCTGATACCTGAGTTCAGCACAGGTAAAACCAGCGATCGCTGCTGCCGTGGGCCGAAATACAACCAACTGCTACCTCGTTCACACGTGTCTGATATTGCGTTTTGCGTGCCCACGCCAGTGTGAGGGCACTACTCAATGGGTCATATTATGACAAAGACCCGTGTCAAATGACTTTGAAGAATAAACCAACACCTAACACATGTGATTCCACCACCGCCGTTCGCCACAAATATTTTTCCAGCGATGAGAACCTCCACAAACTATTTTCTGTTACTGAATGTGATCAAACGTACTGAGAACTTTTATAACAGTAATACAAGACTACTAGTCAAAATTTAAACAACACAAATTGGGAGGGCCCCCCCAGGTAGAGCAAATTTGGGGGGATGGCCCTTAATAGACAGGAAGAGCAAATTGAGAGAGCCAATTTTTGAAACGCAGAGAACGTCACGAAAACGAAAAACTAAAATATACGAAAATTCAGAGAGCAGGAAGAGACATGTGGAAAGGGAGATGTCTGTAAAATTCAACACTAACAGTGGAGACTGGCTTGACAATACGCACTTGACAAATGTTTACATATTATTGTCAACGAATGCAAGCAAGATATCTAGTAAAATCCAGATGATGCTGGTAACCAGAAACATGAGTATTACTTTTTTATATAGTATAGCATAACCATGCACCTGGTCACGTGAAGTCTGTGCAATTGTAGGCCCAATACAATTAAGTCACATTTCGTGTTCAAGGTTCCGTCAAAAGCCACCAATTTGACTTTTTACAAGAATGCCACGTTGTCTGTGGTTAAGAGGACGGGCTAATACAGACCCCAATCTTACATTTTAAGGCTTCAATCTTTCATCATGGATTTCTCTAATAATCGCAAACATATGAAATCGGAAAAATTCTTAAAATAGCTTACGCTTGCATTACAAAACCTAAATGCTTTTAAACAACAATTATTATACGAACCCATTTTTTTAATCTCGACCTGTATGATATGTACTTGCGACCGGCATGATTCCTGTCACATCATAAAACATCTCATATCACCAAAGTTAACAAGGAAGAGGGCGGTGGGATAGGTGGGGAACCAGAGCTGGTAAGTTCCTTTGAACACCCACTCCTTTCACCAGCATAAAATATTTTTTAACAAAAAAAAAAAAAGTCAACAAAAAACCTTCGTCTCCAATCCCCACCTTTCACTTTTACTTTTATCAATAATTTCTCTTTTCACTTTCTTCTGCTGCCACTTCCTCTAAGAATTTACCACATAATTTTTAAATTCCCAACGCCTCTCTGCGTTTTTCGTTTTTTTCCCCATACGGTCCACTTTTTTAGTTTCCTTTCCGTCTTTCTTTTCGCCCCGATTCCCCCCCCCCCTCGTCTCCCTCCAGGCCCCAGTGTTATTTTCCTCTCGAATTTTAGCAATTGGTTTCTTTAGTTACACTTAGTACGAATACTATATCAAGAAGTTCACATACTATTACTGACGTTCCTCATAATAAATTAATAAATTTAATTTTTTTATAAAGCAAAATAACGACTCTACTAGAGGAGGAGTATACCCACATATTTTAACAACAAAGATTTAGGATTTCATACAGGAAACCAAATAGGACCGAAGAACGCGGTCGTTTAATTCAGCCAAGCCCAAGTATTTGGCTATTTACACCCAGACTACCCGGTCTCCGTCCCGCAACCCCACCCTGGCATTCAAGCCATCGAGACACCAAGTTTTCTTATCTAAACTGTAAATGTTCTTGGACTGCCGATTTTATTTCTTAGAAGGAAAATGGAATCGGTGATATGGCTGTGTTCCGTACCTCTAATACGGCCCGGCAAGTTTCGTACCCCTAATGTGACCCGCATGTTTTGTGCACATACAACCTCCCCTATTTCGTACGCGTAATACGTAGCCAGTATATTAAGTTTCATATTTAAATCGTACCAATAATAAAATTCATATTTCGTACCCTTAATACGACCCCCACCATTAAATGGTTCGTGTTTCGCACCCGTACGTTTTTGGAAGGCGAATGGCTAAATCCCTCTGAATTATTCAGTGCAGAAAAATGAGAGATATGGCTTACGTACCGGCAATACGGCCCCGCCGGTTTCGTACCAACAATACGGCTCCATCTGTTTCGTACCCGTAATAGGGTCTCGGTTTTTTTTGTACCTGTGGCAGGGACCCGTACCCGTAACATAGCCCTAGTTAATACATACTCCAAGTATCACCCTGCTCGATACCTACCTAAAGTCCAATTAGCCTGTTTGAAAAGGGTGCCCTACCCAGTACGTATACATGACAAGTACAATCTCAACTATCTAGAAAGAAGCGTTTAAATACTGGGAGACATCCCCAGCACCATTCCTTTGTCAGCAGCGAGAGGCCAAATCCAATCACCAGATAACAATTCTCAGGGACGGGTTGTGCGCCAAAAACTACTGACGACACCACATCCGGGAATACGGAAGTTCTGCTGATGCACAACCCTACTTTACTACCACACCAACTTAACAAGCGAACGATCTATGGCATAAAAGAGAAATGAACACTGAGCAAATGATTTTGTCTCAAAAGGCTCAGAAATTTCAATTACTCAGATATGGTAAACACGAGGAAATTAAATCTTCATCAGAGTACAAAACAAATTCTGGCCACAAAATAGAGCGAAACACCAACGTCAAAGACCTGGGAGTGATCATGTCAGAGGATCTCACCTTCAAGGACCATAACATTGTATCAATCGCATCTGCTAGAAAAATGATAGGATGGATAATGAGAACCTTCAAAACTAGGGATGCCAAGCCCATGATGACACTCTTCAGGTCACTTGTTCTATCTAGACTGGAATACTGCTGCACACTAACAGCACCTTTCAAGGCAGGTGAAATTACTGACCTAGAAAATGTACAGAGAACCTTCACGGCGCGCATAACGGAGATAAAACACCTCAATTACTGGGAGCGCTTGAGGTTCCTGAACCTGTATTCCCTGAAACGCAGGCGGGAGAGATACATGATTATATACACCTGGAAAATCCTAGAGGGACTAGTACCGAACTTGCACACGAAAATCACTCACAACGAAACCAAAAGACTTGGCAGACGATGCAACATCCCCCCAATGAAAAGCAGGGGTGTCACTAGCACGTTAAGAGACCATACAATAAGTGTCAGGGGCCCGAGACTGTTCAACTGCCTCCCAGCATACATAAGGGGGATTACCAATAGACCCCTGGCAGTCTTCAAGCTGGCATTGGACAAGCATCTAAAGTCGGTACCTGACCAGCCGGGCTGTGGCTCGCACGTTGGTTTGCGTGCAGCCAACAGTAACAGCCTGGTTGATCAGGCTCTGATCCACCAGGAGGCCTGGTCACAGACCGGGCCGCGGGGGCATTGACCCCCGGAACTCTCTCCAGGTAAACTAACCCGAGAGTTATAGCTTGCATTAACACTTTACCAGAACGAATAATTAATGCCAATTTTCCTACACAATATAAGAAACCAGAATGACTAAATTAAAATAAATAATTCATCCGAAAATAATCAAAAGAATAATTATACAAATTGGGAATATATAAAACAGCGCGAACAGTAGATTAACTTTTATACACACTGACATGCATTAATAATTATATACTCGTCTGCTGCACGAATGCCATTTAACAGGTACATCTAATTACCCGCCTTTGTGTATTTGCCTACATGTATCTTGCAATGGCAAATAGTCTGACTAAACGATCCCTAAAAGTTTTAAGAGATAAGTTAATACTGATGCAATTAAATCGGGAAAACTACGATTACTCTGAATTAGATTTTTTAATAAACCGAAATTAATACTACGTAAGCAAGAAATATGTTGATACCTGTAAATGGTCAAATAAAGTGACCACTAATGTTGTCCATCTGATAATGCACAGTTTGTCTAACTAATAATACCACGTTTCAAGACATATATCACCGATATGTCAGGACAGTATAATCACTGGTAAGAACATGCACAAACGAAAAAGAATCAAAGAGCCGTTAGAAAATATTTCTTTAGTCTTAGGATGGTTAGGAAGTGGAAATATCTGGATAAGGAAGTAGTGGAAGAAAAACTCAGTACATAGATTTAAGAGCATGCATGATGCCAGGTGTGATCATTCGTAGATAATAGAGAGGTGAGCCACAAACAGGCGAGCATGTATGTACACAACACGCATGTTAACAGATACAGTGTCAATAAAGAACGAAACTCAATGACTCAC